CATCGCTATCTTCATCTAGTGCTTGCAAAATCTGGAAAAATATACAGTCCATCCAATTCCATTAAAGTTTGAAAAGAGTTTTTGCCTGTACATATATCAAATTATACAGTCCATCCAATTCCATTAAAGTTTAAAAGTATATGGTGAAATGAAAAAAATACCTTTTTAAATTCTTCTTTGTTTTTTTCACTCATTGTTTGTAATGTCTGCATTTTTTCTATAAGGTCTCCGACTTGCATTAATTTCTCTCTGCAACAGAAATAATGACCTAGAAAGAAGCTTTTGACAATGCCAGTCTCGGATATCATCAAACAGTTTTTACTTTATCACTTATAATAAAAAAACAGCTAGTGTCAATGTACAGTCAGAAGAGGATAGAAAAATAAATTCATTGAATAATAATAAGAATAACACACTGAGAGAATTTCTTTTGATTTTTGGCTATTTGGAACGCCTTAGAAACCTACAGATGACTGTAGTTAATACTTTAAAATTTACTCTTTTATTTTTTGGTCCTCATCAGCAGTACTTTTGGATGCTTGACTAATATTTTTCTTGTCTTCAGCTAATCTTTCTAACAATTTATCGGCTTTTTTCAACATTTTGTTGACGCGTGCACGCAGTAATTTTGCTCCTCGGGGCTCTTTCAGATCTTTCACTAGTAAATCTAGTTCTTCCAAATCCTGAAAATTGATCTGTCACATACTTTAGGAATAGGGTGAAAAAGATATCCTGAATGCAAATGAAACACGATTAGTAAAAACAAGGAAAAAACAAACTCACTTCATTATGTTCACTTATTTGCTCCTTTAATTCTTTAATATCATACTTTGCTTCTGAAACCGCATTACCGTGAATGACGTCTTCTATTGACTGCACGTTTTTCTAAATTTGAAAAGTATAATCAACAAGATACTTCCATAAAGTGATAATAACGTAAAACATACATAGAAGCAGACTTTGATACTTTTTTCAGACTTTGAAAGGATATCTTAAAGACTTTTCTACTGATTCAGTTCAAATATAAACTGACTCGAGTTATTTCTGTTTACATCATTGCATAAATATGTTATAAATGATTTTATAATGAACTTACTTCGTCAATCTGTACTTTACTGACAGCAACAACATCCTTCTCTTGGACTGATATGGGTTGTATTTCTAGAACTGGTGCTATATCAGGAGCGGGTGGTTCTACAGAAAGTTTACCCGCAGGCTGCTGAGCTGCCTCTGCTTTAACTTTTGTATCTTTCTCTATTGCCTCCTGAATCTTATTACTGCAGTATTATGAAAGTCATTTTATTTTCACTTAATCGATTTTATTTGATGATGAACTATGATCCAGAATGAAGCTTCTAATAGCCAGCATCGACAGTTCTTTACTATGTAATTTTTATAGTAAAAACTGCATACTAAAAAAGTCCTAATTACTGGACTACAAAACAATTCTGAGCAATTCGGAAAAATAATTAGTTTTGAACGCGATAATGACTGCGATATCATATTTTCCTAACATCGTTTCTTAAAATATGCATAAAGATATAGGGATTATCTAAAAAATAAAAAGCAAACAAACAGTATATATACAAAGATAAATCTAAAACCTTAGCCGTTTCCTTTTTTTTGGCTTCTTTCATCTCCTTCTTTTCGGCATCGATAGCTTTTTCAATATTTTGTATAAGACTAAGTCGTGCCTCATAACTTACTTCATCACCTTCAATTTCCGCCAATTTTTGACGTGTTTCCTCCGCAACATCTGAATAGCAATGATAATTAGAAGTATTTCTAAACCACACTACGAAAACCATTGCCAAATAAACTAACTTTCAGGTAAAGTTGTTATTAGCGCTTTCAAACGATCAGTAAAAGCTATATCTTCCGGAAGATATATGGTTCGTGATAAAAGAAGCAGCGATGGTGGTACTTTATCATTCAGCGAAAGCTCCAACCAATGTTTCAACTGCAATTAACCTCATGCGTAATCTTTTTGAGTTCCAAGTTAAATGATTACTCAACACCAGAATTTATTAAACATTCGTAAAAAATTACAAGAAAAGAAAAATATTGTGTCGCAGAACCTGTTCCTTCAAACGCTCTTCACTCATTCCTAAAGAACGCATTCCACGTGCCCTACATGCCTGCTGCAGTTCTGGTACCGTTAATGTATCTACTCCTCCTTCCAAAGCTATTTCCTAGAAAGAAGCTGACATTTCTTCAGAATTTGTAGCTGAAGAGAAGTAAAAAGCAAACAAACTATAATCATGGAATCACAGTTGTCGAAAAAATGCAGATTCGCAAACAATTTACTAACTACAGCAACAATATAAGAAGAAATAAAATTAATTAAAAAAATGTTAAAAGTAATGTTCAGCGCTCAACCACATAGATATTAAGAAAAAATGCAACATGAATGGGTCTCTAAAACACTAGAGCTCCATCTTACACGATGACTTATCAAAAAATAGATATTATGTATTATTTGCAAAATAAATCTAACTCTGAATACGACTACCTGATCATCAGCCTTCAAAGCACGTAATTTCAACGACAACTGAAACCGGATAATTTCAAGAGAGCCAAATGGTTGGATATTCAATAACCGACACAATGCTCGAAGAGTATTAGCTGGCAAATTATCCAGTGTAAGCTCATCTTCGAACAATTTTATGTATTTTATCAAATCTTGATTCGTAACATAACTTCCTTCAGTACGAACCTAAAAATTATTACGTAGAAATTCTTACAAAGACCACTTATTTCTGGAATATTTTTTAC